TTCTTTGCAACGACATCCTCGCATCATCCAGCGTCACCACCGAACGTCGCTCTTTTCGTTCGCTCATTTTCTTGTTCTTGCTTTTCAAGGTCGTTGCTGAGACAACGCCTTATCCGCTCCTTAAGACTCTCGCTCATTACGATACGACCTGTCTGTCCTTCACGGTGAGTCTTCGCAAGAGACACAGCCATCGAAAAAACATAGACTGACTGACTGGCGATATAGAAGATGCGCTATTCTCTCTTCTTCGGAGCTGCGCTCGCAGCCTCCGTCTCAACTGTCGCGGCTGAGGCCGGTTGCACCAATGATGGCGGCAACTGGTACTGCTCCGCCGTTGACCTGATCACATACTCGGGCTTCTCTACCTCAGGCACCTACGATTTGGTCACCTCCATGAGCGGCGGTAAATGCGGGTCTGAGAAACATGAGTACTCTGGTGTATTCGGTCCTCTTGGCGAGGAGGTAAGCTTGAACGTGTCTAGAGAGAAAGATACAAAGCATGAAAGGGCTAATTAACTCGAGTAGCTGTCTATTCACCTCCGTGGACCCATGCAACTTTTCAGTATGGCTGTCTACAACAGAGGCAGTGAGAAACCCAAGCGCGAGCTCAAGCCATCTATCCACGAGCGCCGTCACGGTCACTCCCACCAGCGATTCCACGAGAAGCGCGCCGTCGGAGACACTGTCGTCGCCACTATCGACGGCCAGGTCGTCTCCTGGATCAACCAATACAATGGTGGTGCCCCTGCTGCCCCCACTCCTGCTCCTGGTGCTCCTGGTATCAAAGATCCTCAGGTCAAGAGCAACGGCTATAAGGGTGGTGACAAGCCCAAGGACCCCGAGCCCCATGGTCCCGTCAACGTTGGTCCAGGCGACTGGCGACGTGTTGCCCTCGTAGACACCGATAGGAAGGAAGCTGAGGGCGTCTCTTTCTTGAACAACGATGGTGGTTGGGATAAAGGTGTGGAGCAGGCCTTCGGAGCCGCCCTTAAAAAACTTGGCCTTGACGACGATTTCTTCGGTATGGGCGAGGGACCAAACTTCCCCAAGGACTCGACCATTCCCGATGGCAAAGAGCTCATCATCATGTCGGACAAGTCGTGCGAGGATGGTAGCTGTGGCTTCACCCGTCCTGGTGCCGATGCCTTCCGTAGGTTCCCCCACGCCATATATACCAACAATTTAACCGTCCACATACTAACTAGCATTTTACAGACGGCTTCGGTGGTGAGGATAAGATTTTCCTCTTTAGGGTTGCCATGCCCGTAACTGGCTCACAGGCTTCATCTATCTACGACCCCAAGGACATGCCCGCCATCTGGCTGCTCAACGCCAGGATCCCCCGTACCTCTCAGTACCCCATGGACCCAGCTTGCTCTTGCTGGAAGTCTGGATGCGGCGAGTTCGACGTCCTCGAGGTCCTCGCCCCCGGTGACAAGCGCTGCAAGTCTACCTACCACACTGAACAGTCGAAATCCGGTGGCTCCAGCTACTACTTTGATCGTCCAGAGGAACCAATCACCGTCGCCGTTGTCTTCAACAGCGGCGATGGCACCCTCTACGTCAAGACTCTCAAAGATGGCTTCGACAAGTTCCCCGAGACCCTCAACCCCGAGGACGTTAAGAAACTCTGTGCCGACGACGGGAAAACCAACAACTTCGCTCTCGCCTCTTAGAAGCCCGGACTAGCCCGTCACGGTTTCTTTTTCTTTCTCGTTGTCGTTTTATACTGTTATCTTGATATCCATGCCTTGCAAATAACATCCTCTGTTTATATACATACCTACATACATACTTCCTCTCGGTGTTGACAGAATCGGCACTCCCCGGTGATCGGTGTCCGCTTCGACCTCCTTTGACCTCTTCTACTTTGATTTTAAATTCATGAGATGATCCTTTTTTTTTTTACCCCTCGACCATTTTCTTTTCTCTTAGTGTATCTTCAATTTTTTTCCTTTTTCTCAAGGAGGCATGAAGCGGATTCGGGACATCCGGCTGTCTGATGAAACCCCTTGTTTGTATCCTGTATCTACTCTTTCAATGAACAATTTGTCTCTTAAATCCCTTATCGTATCATTGATCTCCGTCTCGACGCATATGTAGAGTAGTCCAATATGCGCAAGGAAGCCCCTGGCAACTTAAGTTGGATATTGCCCCTGACAGATAATCATAATGACCACCTAGGCCACTGTCTCGCCCTGTTATTAGACGGCATCTTCCGACCTGTCATTAACAATTTCGCCTTCTATCTAATCTCCATTGCTGGATACTCACTACTCTCGTCTTGTCTCATCTCTACGTTATCTGCGTCTTCGACCGACTGAGCCCGCTCTCTCTCCAGCTCCATGGATGCCGTGACATCCCGTGACTTCAAGAAATTTGGATTTGACCGAACTTGACACACGACCAAAAGACAGCACAGGACAGCAGACAACCACCAGGACAGCCCAGGAGCACAATACAGCGCTATTCCCACGCTTCTTGACCGGAAGACCATACCAATTCTACTACCTCGAGATCCGATCTCTCGCTACTCTTCTCGTTGCGGCGCTGTTTTGCGCAGCCGGCACTTTTTCACCTACGACAGTCTCCACTGACACCAACTGACCGAACCAGTCAGACAGACTGATATACGGCCATTGGGATTGGGATATCGATCGGAATATCTGGGCTATGGATGCATGCACTGCATGACGGGCGCATGGTTACATATACGCTCTCCTGAAGTGGACAACAGACAACTTTTTGCGGAGACGGAGAAGTGCAGCAGAGCGGAAACCAACATATACGCCCATATCTTGCTGGCCAAGATATACGTACATATACATCTATCTATACATATATGACAATAGCCGGATACAAAGGAAAGAAAACGGTTTAATTTATCCAGGATGGATGGGGGTGAGTTGGCCTGCTCCGTTTGACACCCATTGAAGCCGCTATTCTAACTAACAGCTTCATCATAGCCCCTGCAGTGTCCGGCCTGGACGCCATACCACTCGACAAGTTGAAAGAAGAGTACCTCCGACGGTCGTGCGGAAGTAAGAAGATAAACACATACAATACACCAGCCCACGTAGCTGCGTTGTTCCTCATACTCACCCTCAGCACCTTCGGTACGGTCAATTCACCACATATCTCTTATGCAGTGATAGTGACATGCTAACATTCAGCTATCAACCAGCCTGTGCGTTTCCCATAATAGCTCGACGGTTCCCTAAACTACCTATCCCGCGCCGTTTTCTCTTTTTGTCTCGCCATTTCGGAACAGGCGTGCTTATAGCTACTGCCTTCGTCCACCTGCTGCCGACGGCGTTCATATCCCTGACGAGCCCATGTCTGCCGCGGTTCTGGAATAAGGGCTATCCTGCCTTTGCCGGGCTGGTAGCCATGGTTGCGGTGCTAATAGTCGTTTGCATTGAAATGTTCTTTGCCATGAAGGGGGCTGGGCATGTTCATGGATCGGAGTATGATACGCTAATAGGTGATGGTCACGGACATGGTCATGGCCATGGACACGGGCACGGGCACAATCACGGTCACGCACATGAGAACGGCTCATCTGTACGAATGGGCAAAGTACGACGGAATCCACCGGCCAGGATAATCATTAGCAACTCGACGGAGAACCTGGTCGATGGAGCAAGTCCGCTAATGCAGAATGGTCATGCAAGAAGTCAAGATGGTCGAGATGCAGGTGCAGACCACGCAAGCGATGATGAAGATCTGGACCTTGATCTTGAAGAACTCGATCCGCAGCCGGACGATAACGAGTCGGAATACGTACGCCCTACACATCACGGCCATCATCACCACTACCATAGCCACGACAGCCATATGAGCGAGCAAAGTGCTCAAAAGCAACTCCTTCAATGCCTCCTTCTCGAAGCCGGTATTCTTTTCCACAGCATATTCATCGGTATGGCTCTCTCCGTAGCCACGGGTGCAAACTTCCTCGTCCTTCTAGTCGCTATATCCTTCCACCAGACATTTGAAGGCTTTGCTCTCGGCGCACGTATAGCGGCTCTCATACCGGCGCTGTTCCCTGCCTCGTCACCTAGACCGTGGCTCATGGCTCTTGCATACGGGGCAACTACGCCTATAGGTCAAGCTATTGGACTCGGTGTACATAATTTATACGACCCAGCGAGCACTACGGGTCTGCTCATGGTTGGACTGACGAACGCATTCAGTAGTGGTCTTCTACTATTTGCTGGGCTGGTGGAGCTCCTTGCTGAGGACTTCCTGAGTGATAGAAGCTATGAGGTTCTGCAAGGACGAAATCGGCTTGAGGCCGGTATTGCTGTTGCTGCTGGTGCGTCGTTGATGGCCTTAGTAGGAGCCTTTGCGTAGGTCGGGTCGCCTTTTTTACTCCCGGTTTCTTTCCATACCTCGGTAATTTATTAGCTTTATTCTTGGGATAATGTATTTCTAACCATGCTTTAAGCTAAGTTATGTATTCATTCTGGACGTGATATTTTGTTTTCTTCTCAATGACCCCGAAATGTTTTGTTTTTTGTTCATCAATCAAATCAGACTTTGGAAAAATATCGATAAAGTCAATTCTCCTTTTACCGCACGGCATTCATTAACATCAATCAATCAATCAATCAATCTACTGCAGGGACTCAATAACCATGGCGCTAGCACCGCCTCCACCATTGCAAATACCCACACATCCAAGCTTCCCCTTTTTCTCACGCAAGACACCCAAAAGAGTAGTCAGGATACGCGCACCACTAGCTCCAAGCGGGTGTCCTAGTGCAACAGACCCACCGTGGATGTTGACCTTATCCTCAGAGAGGTTGAGGATCTTCATATTTGCCAATGCAACAACGCTGAATGCCTCGTTGATCTCAAAGGCGTCAATGGCACTTTGTTCAACTCCAGCGTGCTCGAGAGCCTTGGGGATGGCCAGGGATGGAGCAGTGGTGAACTTGCTGGGCGCCTTGGCTGCGTCACCCCATCCGAGGATCTTAGCCATGGGCTTGAGGTTGAGCTCTTTCAGCTTGGCTTCAGAGACCAGCACGAGGGCTGCTGCGCCGTCGTTAAGGGGGGATGAGTTAGGGGCCGTTACTGTGCCGCCATTTGGGATGAAAGCAGGCTTGATGGCTCGGAGTTTGTCGGGGTTAAGCTAGATGGGTTTACGTTAGCCGTTTGTCTCTCGTTGATTCCTACTTATGTAAATGGGGCTGCTCACGTTTTTGGCTTCCTCGTCCTTGTCGACGATGGTGGATGGCTTGCCGCGGAAACCGGGGATCTCAACTGGTGCAATCTCTGCGCTGAGAGCACCGGAGTTCTGCGCAGCCTGGGCACGCTGGTATGTGCGGATAGCATAGTCGTCTTGCTGCTCACGGCTGAATCCATGGTCCTGAGCACACTCCTCGGCCTGGAGTCCCATGAGCTCCTGCTTTCCATAAGCATCCATCAGACCATCCTTCATGATACCGTCCGTGAGACTCTGGTGGCCATACTTGGCTCCGGTACGCATATTCGGGAGGTAGTGGGGGGTGTTTGACATGGACTCAGTTCCGCCAGCAACGATGATATCGGCGTTACCAGTCATGATGGTCTGGGCACCGAGAATGACAGCCTTGAGACCTGAGGCGCAGACCTTGTTTACAGTAGTGCAAACTGTAGAATCCAAGAGTCCAGCTCCCAGTGCACACTGTCTAGCAGGGTTCTGACCGACACTGTTGCAACCCCGTTAGCTCGAGAGCTACCCCCGCCAAAAGGAGGGACAACCTTACTTTGCGGACAGGACATTGCCAAAGAAGACCTCTTCCACATCTTCTGGCTTAATTCCTTGAGCCCGTTCAAGAGCGGCTATTGCAATCCAACTCCATTAGCCCTGGACAGTACCCAATTTAGGCTGCAATATATATACCCTTTATCGCGTGGGATCCGAGCTGAGGGGCAGTGAGAGACGAAAGAGAGCTACACAACCGGTCAAGTCAGTACAGGTTCTCAAATATCTCCAATCCCAGCTTCTCCAGTGTCACCGGCAAACAATAGCTATAGGAGAGCTGTCTGAAGACTTACCCAAGGAACGAGCCCACTGGGGTTCGGGCTGCCGATACGATGTAAACTGGAGGACGAGAAGACATTGCGAGGAACCTTGACGGATAGAGATCTTGCTGGTAAGAGAGATCTAGAGATTATTATTATATTAAAGTTAAAGTGTTCAAATATGTAGAGCGGGTAGAAGAAAGGGAAGACAGCGCAAAGAGACGAGATGCCGTTGGTTTGGTAGCCCTTTTTATGGTTTTGTTGAGCTTGCGGACCCAAAAACTAGATAATTAGCCTGGCGGGCGGGCGAGTGAGCGTTATCGGAGAACACGCACCTTTTACCCAGCTATAGCTGCATCTCTCTTCCCGATGCTTGTCTATATTTACGGCGTCTACAATGCAGTTTTCAATTGAGAATCGTTCTAATTATCTACTTTATGTTTTTATTCCAGGCGTTATGTACATTTCTCATCTCACATATTTCAGAAATTGCCGCTTTAGGCATGTTGGGCCTGTTTGCATTCTCTTCAAATAATATTTCGGCAAAACATTATTCCTGTTGTATTCGTATTACAGTACTTTTGAGCTTTCTGTCAGCGTTTGTGTATTTTACGTGTATGGGTGTGTTACTATATAGTTAAGGTTGCCCCTGAAGATGAAATTATTAGGGATCAAATGAACATACGATATAAGTAATGGATGTTTGTAGAGATTACAGTTAAATCATCTAAGGATAGGGAATGCAAGCTATTAAGCAAACTTGGTGCAGAGATATGCCCTAGAGAAGAGATGTTTGCTCCCTTCTGGTAGCCTGCTTGATCCACTGGGCCGACCATACCTTCATGAGCTTGTCCATAGAAGGAAGCTGTAGCATCTCTGGACGATGTGCGAGGGCCCGACGCAAATTATCAGTACCGTAACGATGCTCACCTGCGTGAATATTCTGCCAGATGTCGCGGCGTTCGTGCTCTTTATCCTCCATCTCTGGAAGAAAGACGCTCATCCTACCAGCTCGGAATTTTGCAAGAGATTGAAGCCAGTCCTCGTATGGAACAGGCCGTAGCGGCGAGGGGCAGCATTGTCTTAACATATCAAAAGTCGCCGGAAGATCAACCAGTTTCTCCTGATCTGGTTGTATCACATTGTACGCATGGCCGATATTTTCCAGGGATGTGGAAATCTCCAGCATGCACGAAACAGCGAAGTCCACTGGAACAAACTGGCTGCGTTGTTTGGGGGCAATGGGATAGCTGCCAATTTGTATGCAGTTGGACATCATTCTCGAGGTGGCATCGTCATCGTTCCCAATACCAGTAACGCTATGTCCCAGAACCATGCTGAAACGATAAATAGACGCAGGCACTCCGTTCGATATGGCATTCCATAAGACCATCTCAGCAGTGTACTTGCTGTACGAGTATCCGATATGGTGGCCAGCCTTCTTAAGATCAACCTCCGGTTTTTGATCTTCTGAAATGTGCTGCTTGCCGAGATATGCATTTAGCCCACAAGCAGACAAACTGGAGCTATGATGGAAAGTTATTCGCCGCTTGTTGGTCGCAAATTGAAGCATATTGAAAGTTCCAATAACGTTTGCCTCCCGGTGAGCAGAATAAGGCTCTAGAAAATTTGACAGCGCAGCAAAATGAAAGACAGCACTTGTCCACGCTGACAATTCATCAAACTTAGCCCCTTCAAGACCCAATTTTGGCTTGGATATATCTCCCGGAATGACTGCCAGCTTCTCATCGCATTTCCATTCAATCCCATATTTCTTAAAAGTCTCCTTGATGCGTTGCAGGCCAGTATTTTCATCCCTTGCTCGTACAAGACAGGCAACAATTTTAACATCAGGCCGCCCAAGGAGTGATGCTAGCATCCACGCACCAATAAAACCGGTAGCACCTGTTAAGAATATCCGGCCCTCGGACTCGCATTTCCAGTCAATAGTCGGCCCTGGGGTAGGTTGTAATCCAGTTCCCAATAGTATATCGTTTTTCAATGTTCCCTCATCAGGGGTTTCGCTCGTAGATATCCCGCTATCCTTCCCATCATCTTCGGTGGATTTTGACTGATACTTACAGCGCAATGCATTCATGGTAGTTGCTGTGAGCCCTCCGACGGTTTTTGCATTTGAGATTTCAATCAGTGGTACGTCCAACGATAAATTCCGGCGGAACCAGCTTCTGATCTCGATAGACATCAAAGAGTCGATTACAATGTTATCGATCTCCTCGTCGTCTGCATTTTCATCAAGTCCCGCACGCGGGCCTATCAGTACCCTCAGTTCCTTTGCGATTCTTTTCTTACTCTCCGGCGAGTCTAAGATGCTGGGGTCCTTCTTGATGTCTTCAACGAAGCTTCTGAGGTCTACAATGCTAGTAGTGTTTGCCTTATCAGATTTCCACTGAAGGTTTTTATTAATGGTGAATCGAGCATCTCTTGGCCACAACGGGTGGTTACCACTATCAGGAGGAGGTTTCGATGTACCCAGTCCTATAGCAAATTGGCCTGACTCGGACTCCTTTGACTTCAACATGGCTACCTGCAAAGCATCGACGAGATAGGAGTTGTCTGGCATTTCTATTGAGTTGGCAAGTGCCTTCTTCACCAGGTTTTTATCCTGGCTAAAATGGCCAATTTCCTGCATAGCTCCAACGTCAATAGCCCAGACTGGCAGATCCATAGATTTGCGATAGCGCACGAAGGTATCCAGGAAGGTGTTCGCTGCATTATAGTTTGCCTGGCCAAAGTTACCTCTCATACCAGATATAGAGCTAGTGAGGATGAAAAAATCCAGGGAAACGTCCTTGAAGACGTTATGTAAATTCCAAGTTCCTTGGACTTTGGGCGCGAGCGCAGCATTCCAGTCATCATAGGTCATTTTTTCAAAGGCTTCGTCCTGTCTACTGTATCAGTGACCCGCTTTAGAAGAGTAGATGTGCCTCATATATGTTTCACTTACCCTCAATACCATAGCCAAGTTGATAACGCCAACAACTGGTTTTGGGCTAGCAGTAGCTGCCCGTTTGACATCGTCTAGTTCAGTTACATTTCCCTTCACTACGGTAGCTGTACACCCTTGGGCATCCAGTTCGCGCAGGAAAGCTTTGTCTGAATCAGATTCTCCTGCTGATCGCGACAAAAATATGAAATTACGGGCTCCCTTTTCAATCATCCAAGTCGTAATAGGACGACCAAGTCCGCCAAGTCCGCCTGCCAGTAAGTAGGACCCTCCTGGGGATAGAGAAAGGTTTAAGTTGTTCTTTGCGACTGGTAATTCTGCTGGATCCTCTGGCATTTTTATGATGATCTTGCCCATATGTTTCCCGGTCTGCATGTACCTGAAGGCACTAGTAATGTCCGTAGCCTCATATATCGTCGTCGGCTGTATTGGCTGAATTTTTCCTTGTTGGTAAAACTCAATAACGTCTCGGCATAGCCTTCTCATTCATCAGTGTCTGATAGGCATATATTGTGAACAACCATAGGTAAGCGAAAAGGAATACGTACTGTCCAAACATAGTCGCGTCTGTCTCGCCGAGTCGGAATAGGTCAACTCCGAAATATGCTCTATTTCCAGAGAATCCATCCATACTCAGCTGTGCATGGCCCATGATGTCTCTCTTCCCTAGTTCAATCATCCGACCGAACTCAGCAACACAACGCCATGAGGCATGCAACAATTCGCCAGAGAGAGAATTCAGGACAAGATCGACTCCCCTCCCATTGGTATGTCGCATGACACCGTCGAAGAATGAGGCGCTCCTTGAATCAAATATATGATCTTCGGGAATTTGGTGGTTCTCTACAAGGTACTTCCGTTTCTGTTCATTTCCAACAGTTGCGTAGATCTTGCATACATCATTAGCGGACGTCGTTGATGAAGAGCTGCGTTATCCTTACCTCCGCCCCAATGGTTCGACAAAGGTGGATTGCTGCCAAACCAACACCGCCACATGCAGAGTGGATTAGTATAGACTATTACGTTTTTTATTATTTTTCGTCAGTTTGAAAGATTGCCAAAGAAATTTGGTGGGTTTCTTTTTACCTGGTTTTTTTGAAGATTTCCAAGCCGTATTAGGGAGAGTATCACGGTAGCATATACCGAAGTCATTGTCGCTGCATCTTCTAGAGACAATCCATCGGGGATTGGGACACAGTGATTTGCAGGTATCACCTTCCTGGTACGAAGAAGACCGATACCCAGAGCTAAAATCCTTTGGCCAACACGCAAGTTCTTGACGTTTGAACCGACTTTGAAAATAGTTCCCGAGCTCTCAAGTCCAATCTCACTTGTGTCACCAAGGGCACCCAATGTCACCATAATGTCCTATTAGCAAGTAAGTATCTTCCGCTAGAAACCCAGTACACTGTCTATGCATACCCTAAAATTAAGCCCAGTGTATTTTATTTCCACCATCACATCGTTTCCCCCAACTGGAGGCTCTTCGTATTCAACCCAGGATAAAGAATCCAAGAGACCATAGGTTCCAATGTGTAGACCTTTGGACATATTGGGCTTGTTGGTCGTGGTAATTTCCTCATCCAGAGGCGTCCAATGGAATCTGCCAATATGAATAACTCCATCACGTACAGCGAATTCATAATCCTGGTCCAGCCATGGTTTCTCGCGGAAGATTTGCATCTCCTTAAGCAGATCACAGAGGGAAGTAGCAGTCTTTTCATCAAACTTATCAACTTCGAACGTGGAAAAATCCACATCCATCTCGAATCTAAGCGTACGAGCCAGGCCGAGAACTAAACCATATCGAGGGTCTGAACACTCAAGCTGGCTTCCTCGTGTTACCCATATCATCCGACAATTGGTTGCAGTTGACATAGCTTTTTGGAAGGCGCGGAAGTTTCCTTCGGAGATTTTGTCGAAAAATGGGCCACCTAAGTCAAGGAGTGAAATTATGATCTTGCCTGCAGGAAGTTGGTCCAGGGTACACCAATGTACCGTGTAGCCCCTTTGGGAAAGCTGTGCCTCTGCTATATACGCCCATTCATGAACCGTGGGATGATGAAGGAGATATATATCTCCTTTAACTGGGACTATATCTGCACGCCGCGACCATATACCAGCGCCATAGTGATATGGTTGCTCACAGTCATAGAACACTGCTTCTGCCCCACTGAATCCATTCTTCTGGAGTTCCCGGCCCCATCGCTCAGGACTTACAAGGGGGGTATCCTCTCTGCCATCCCCACCTCCTAGCCACCAACCTGGAAGGACACCCTAATATTTTCATACCAAATTTAGCTTAAAATCGCCAGCCAAGATGTTGAATGATTACCTACCATGATAAAATTGAAGATAGGTATGGCTGAGATTAGTTGGTCAGTGGATAATAGGGCATAATGTATGACTAAAGAGCATACCTGAGCAAAGTTCCTCCAGTACAAGGCCACCTCCAGGAACCAATAGCATGCGTACGTACTCTAGAGTCTCACTTAGACATGGAGTTGCGTGGAGGACCTGATAGCAAAATTAGCAAACTGTGGTTAGGAATATAACTGAAGCACGCACGTTCGAAGCAATAATGAGATCAAAACTCTCTGGGCTATAGCCTTGCTTTGTCGGATCTTTGCTAATATCAAGCACGGAATATTCTATTTCTTCGAAGTCTTTAAACCTCTCTTTTGCTAACGGTAGCACTCCAGGGGATATGTCAGTAAACGTATATTTGGAATACATACGAGTCCTTCCTGCAGGTGCTAGGTGGAGCAGCATTGTTGCTGTGGCAGATCCTACTCCACCACCTATCTCCAATACTCTCAAATTTGGGTTCCAGTGGCTAAATAGACCGAAAAAATCAGACCAACCAGACGTCCAACACAAATTATTGTATACGTTCTTGATTCTATCATCCTCCATGAGAACTTCCAGCGGACTTACTTTGCCTTCAATTATTTGAGGGCAATGATCAAGAAGAGTTTTGGAGATATCAATGAGCGGCATGTCCCTTGGAGATTCAACCTCCAATTCTCGCACTAGGGACTCCATAGCAGTCAGGCGGGCTTCAGAAGAAGCTGCTGCCCACGAAGAAGTTTCAGGAAATAGTTCATCCAGCCCTTTACTAAGACGATCTGTCTGGGATATAATCCACCCCTGATATTTGACTAGGTGTGGAGAATCAGCTTTGAGGTGCTTTATTCGATGGAAACACTCGAGAATCAATAGATTTGTAAACTGCCCTACGATCCGGCGAGAGTGTACGGATGATGGCCTGGAGGCTGAGCCCGACAATTTCGCAATGGAACATAATAGGACAATCGGTTTCCACACGCATCGTGATATCAAGCGTCTCCTTGGTAAGCTTGTATCTTCCTCGTCCACTGTAAAGAACTGGGCTCCCTCCATCCACAGTACAGTTTTATTATCCAATGTCATAACCACACGTCCACTTGCCGTACTGCTAGATCTTCCAGTGCCTTTAGCGTGGGCAGCCATTGACAGGGCCCCTGTGCTAATATAAAGTTTCTCAATAGACACGGGGATGCTGAGTTTGGTCATTTGACGAGAAATACCATGCGTGAAAGCTACGCTAAAAAGCTGTAAGCATTGGTCAATTGTTGATGGGTGTAGTGAGTAGTGGCTCTCATGTAGATTCTCATCATCAGCTATAGACGCAGTGGCTTGGTAGTCAATCGGATCCGCAGTAATGTTCTCGAGGCCTCTGAACCGAGGGCCATAATGCAGGCCTCGATTTGCCAGTGCGGAGTACCACTGGTCTGCCTGTACTTGTCTGATGAATGGACCTTTATGTTCTTTGAATCGACATACTTCAATGTCACCGGGGATCACACGGCCTGTACAGTGCTTTTGCCAGGTATTGTCGTTACAGGAGCTGATGGTGAATTCGTACCACTTGGAATCAGCACTATCCGTAAGCCGCACAGGCCTCAGGCTAGTGACTAGCTCCAGGACACTAGAATCTTCCAATATGAGAGCTCTCTTCATGAACAAGTTCCTGATTGAATATGCATGAGACCCGGTAATTTGATAGATAGCTTCACCGATCATGGCGATGTAACCAGCACAGGGAAATACAATCTCCTTATTTAACCTATGCTCCCAGATCCAAGGAGTGTGTTCCACGTATAGCAAGTTTCTCCAAGTAGGCTCTATGTCGCTTGTCTCGTAAACACGCGAGCCCAGGATCTCATGGTGTGGGTGCTGTCGACTTCTCCATCTTTGGGAGATTAAGTTCTCCCCCCAATATCTCACGTCGTGTTGCCAAGGATATTTTGGGAGATCAGTGAGCACCCTCCCAGGGCCATTAATTTCTGAGAAACTAATAGGGCTACCGTTCATGTAGGCTCTCCCTGCTGCAGTCAGCAGGCTTTTCCTCTGACCTTCACCTCGAATAAGTGTAGGTATATAGGTGACATTCAGCTTTGCTTGGTGGCCGTCGAAGATCTGCCTAAGAGGCCCAGAAAGAGCAGAATGAGGTCCAATTTCTAGGAACAACGCATTACCACCATTTTTCTCAAGGTAGCTTCCAACCGCTGTTGAAAATAGAACAGTAAATGATAAAATTTCAGCCCAATATTTTGCATCTAGCTGAATGGGTTCAATAATGATATTTCCCGTCACACTTGAGTAGAATGGAATCATGGCGTCCTTAAAGGATATATGTGGCCCGATAAGGTCTTGATATAGCCCAGTCAAGCCTTGCATATGGTCTAATTTTAATGTTAATACGTTAATCCCGACTGATCTAGACGAAAAGGAGTAATCGGATAGACTTACGAGAATGATACGCAACTCCGACGCGAAGACGCCGACAAAAGATATCATCTTCGGTTGATTGAATCTTAGCAATGACCTTGTCAAGTTTGTCGCTGTCGCCAGAAATAGTCACGCTTTGTGGACTATTTTCACACGCAATAACCACGCCATCAATAAGATAGCGTTTGACTTTCTCCGGGCTAAGCCCAACAGCAGCCATTCCGCCTTGGGGTGTAGCATCATTTTCAGAAATTGATTTTGTCACCTGCCCACGATAGTAGGAAATAATGATGGCAGACTCCAAGGTAATGGCGCCGGCAGAGTAGGCAGCGGCAATCTCGCCGCTTGAATGACCGATCACACCAGTGGGAAAAAGGCCCCAGAGTTCTAAGAGATTCGACAGAGCAATTTGCACAGCTGTACAAAGTGGCTGCGCATATTCAGGCTCGTTAACCCTAGAATCCTCACTGGATTTCAACAGCTCATCTGAAAATGTGAAATGATAGGGGTTAGTAACCGTAAAGGCAATCATGGATGTTACTCATACCTTCTATACTCCAACATGGGGCGTTTTTCAGCTTTTGTAAGGCCGTATCCATGGCTTTGATATCATTCCGGAAAATATCGAACTCAAGTAGTAGTTCTTTGCCCATGCCGACCCATTGTGCCCCTTGGCCTGTGAAGACGAAAACCATACTACGCGACTTGGTATATTGAGATGTTTCAAAGCCTGCAGTATCAATACTTCCTTCTTGCTCAAGAATTGTAAAGGCTCGGTACTTGAGATGTTCCCTTCTAGCCCCCAAATTAAAGCATAAATCATTTGACACCTCCGGCCGACTTTCCACATAAGCTTTCAAATTTTCGACTTGTCGTTGAAGCGAATTCTGAGAATTTGCTGACAGGACGAGAAGTCTCGACTTATTTTGCGGCGCAGGTCTCTCTAAGTACTCACTATTCATAGCGGTGAATGACGCAGCCGAGTCAATAATGACCTGCCTAAGTTAGTAATAATTTAGTGAGATAATCATGCATTACTATCCCTTACGTGCACATTTGTGCCGCCAATTCCAAAGCAATTGATGCTGACACGTTCACTTCGGTCGTGGGGCCAAGTAGTTGGCTCTAGAGGCACTTGGAGCCGGGCACTATCAAAGGGCACTAAGAAATTTGTTAATATCACCTTTTAAAGAAATTACGGACAAATTTCTTACCCTTCGGGTTCGGGGTCTTGAAATTAATATTCGGGGGTATGATCTTATTCTCAAGGGCCAAAGTAGCCTTGATGATGCTTGTAAGTCCTGAGGCACCTTCAGAGTGCCCGACGTTAGGTTTGACCTAGACACGAGTGAGCTTCGCGGACCATGAAATACCAGGACTCAGTTTCATAGTACTCACCGACCCAATATATATTCCTTTCTCTCCAAAAGCTTTTGCAACGGCTGTTAATTCAGCGACGTCTCCCATGACAGTTCCAGTACCGTGGCATTCAATGAAAGCAGTTGCAGAAAGATCAGATATCTTTGCTTGACTATAGGCCTGATGTATAAGGCTTGCTTGGGTTTCTGCACCAGGCATCGAAATGTTAGGTGTTCTACCGTCGCAGTTAGTCGCGGTAGAGCGAATGACAGCACGAATAGGATCTCCATCTCTAACTGCATCTTCAAGTCTCTTGATATAAACTGCATTTATAGCTTCACCACGTCCGTATCCATCAGCGTCAGCGTCGAAGGATCGACAAATTCCACTAGGCGAAAGAACCAAGTTGTCGGACATTGTAGTTGCCATCGTCGGGGCTAGAGCAAGGTTGGTTCCTGCGACAATTGCAGCTGAACATTCTCCTGAGGAAAGAGAGAGGCATGCATTATGTAGAGCAACCATAGCAGCTGAGCAAGCAGTTCGAAACGTTATACTTTTTCAAGGGGTTTAGTTCATTAACTTTCACTATAAAGAAGGATATTCTAACCTTGGTCCCTTGAGATCATACTCATAGGAGACTCTGTTTGCGAGCGCAAAATCTCCAGCACCGATAGCTCTGACTCTGTTAATGTCCTGGGTATCTTTACTTGACATGTCAAGCCAGTCTTCCCCGAAAGAGCCAACAAAACAGCCGATATCCTTTCCACGCCAGCCGGTTACGCCGGCAGACTCTAGACATTCCCATACTACTTCAAGTAGCAGTCTTTGTTGGGGATCCAGCCTTTCAGCTTCGTATTTCACCATGGAAAAGAATGACGTATCTATGTGAGCCAGATCTTGATTTAGAAAATAGCCATACTCTGTCCTAACAGAGCCAGGCTTCGAGCTATTATAAAACGCATCAATGTTGAAACGAGATTCTGGTATCTTACTACGCGCATCTCCCTTTGAAACCAGGAAGTCCCAAAACTCTTCTGCAGAGGTGATACCGCCCGGGAGTCTCATACCCATACCCACAATTGCAATAGGAGGAGGAACATCTTGCGAATTGGAAACAGCTTTCATAGGCGTGCAGGATGTGCTAGCCGATGACTCCCTTTCCTTTAAGAGTTCCTCAACTGCGATTGAGCCCATTTTTAGGCGGAGTATTCAGTACTAAGACCGAGCTCGCCGAATGGAGTTTGGTAGTGTGTTCTGGGGATGTAGGTGCTTCGGGATGTCGGACGTAGTAAACTGAGAGCAACAGAATATTGTTCAAAGAGAATGATTCCCAACAATGAGACAGAATTGAGAAGTTAAGGAAACGGGTTGCAAACGCTTCATCTTTCGAAGAAGAGCCACGGCCATTTTTCAGTCAAAGATTAAATAGTCTGAGTGTCAAACATGTCTGGCGAGGCGACCCTCCTTGTGGAGCAGGAATTGTGATGGCGTTTCTATTATCTGGATATATCCAAGCTGTTGCGAGCTCCAGAGTACAATATGATCAATCGTTGCACAAGATACGTGCGACCCTCCTTTTCTTTTTGCTTTGTCGGCCTTTTTGAGCCACGTTATGCGGGCCTTTCCCAGGCCTGCCATCAAGATGAGGTGAAACACTCATCTCTTATCCCTCGTTGAGATGAAAACTCCCCCAGTTCCAGAGTGGATGTGAGGAAAGTTGAAGTCGAGACGAAGATCTTTGGATGTTGAGGCGGTCCAATTAAAGCTATCCGTGCTTAGTCATTATTGTCTTCTGAAGCTTTTTATTGGTTAATTTCACAACCGCCTTCTCCACGTGTATCAGGCTCATTTTTGGTCTGCACAAGATCCGATCCTTTCGCTTGGAGGTGAGAACGGAGTTTGATATGCGAACTGCATTAACAACTAACATGGCATACTCCGTGAAAGTCAATATCTCTGTGTGGATTTGGCTATCAGTCAGCCACCAGAGGATCAATGAGTGTGGCAAGTAACGGAGCTACTCACGCAACTTTTACAGGAGTACGGAGTATTCTCACCCGTTTTCTGTATTGACCCTCCGCACAAATTAATCTAGATTGTCTTCAGGATTTATCATGTTTTTCAGCCACGGTTTGTAGTAGTGTATAATTCGACCTTGCAGTGGTAGGATGAAGTCATGATATCGTGGTGAAACGCCACCATGCGTAGTGTGTCAGTAGTATCAACAATATTTCTGATATTACAGGTTTTATCCAAGCCACCCCCACGGCCAAATGATTAACAAACTATCTGACGAGTAAACTAGCTATTGAGGCTGGACGCCATAGACACATTTATAAACACCATGTATACACCATTCTAACAAGAATGGCTATTATAGTACTAAGAGAGAAACCCTAGTGTCCTCTATATTATCAGCTAATCCACGGAAGTGACTATGAAGAAAGATAGATACATATAGCAATACCATAAATAATTTAGTTATTCATAGGCTCGGTGTAAGGGAAAACTTATATCCTTCACAACATTCTAGGAGATTAAGCCATTTGTTGAGCGGTTAGCTTTGTCTATATATGCTGGTGTTGGATGATCCGCATAGATATCATACTTACATATTGCAACCAAGCGAATCTAGAATATGGTATGAGACCATCGTTCTACAATAAATCCGAGGTTTATAACTAGTAATCACTTAGAAGATTCCATTTAAAGCTGGAGCCTACAAGAGTACATGGGCGGAACCAGTAGAAAAACCTCACAATTTCTTACGACCTTCTTCCATCCCAGATTCATTTTCCCCCGACACAAACATAATACCGAAGCCATAGACCGTAGCAATCTTTTCCAACATTGGGGTTCCATTCTTTGAATTTTGAGATTGAGATTCGGTAATTCCGAGTAATATTGTCGCAGGTATCCCCCTGTCTGACCTGGTGCCACTTGCTGCATTGGCATATAGCTCCGGGTTGAGTTGGAGAAGGAAGACCAGGGCTATTGCATCCCGTAGGGGTTGGTTTAGGCATGGGTTTCTTCGTTGTAGGTGTCCCAGGTACGCCTAGACAATATTGATTAGTTAAGAGCACTGCTCGTACGTCAATGAGAACTTACCAATGCAGTAATAGTAGTTCAACCAGAGGCCGGAGCAGTCCTTTCCAACTGCTGGATTCCACTTGATAAACTCCTCTAGAGTAAAAGTTCCATACTGATTAAGAAGACTAGCGCAGGTGTTCCCAGATAGCGCTTTATGCCACCGCTGACAGTTGTTGACAATGCCATCCTGGGTTGGCCCGGGGGCAGCAGGTTTTACAGTCGTATGTGAGTTTGTGCTACTCCGCGATGTGCTAGCCGATATACTCGTTGGAAGTGCACTGGGTGTCCCAGGTATACCGACACAGTAGTGATAACCAGACCAAAGTCCCGAACAATCCTTCTCGACCGCCGGATTCCACTCAATGAACTGGTCCAACGTTACGGGTTTATACCGGGATATAATCTTACCACACGTATCACCGCTAACAGCCCGATGGAATTTTGTGCAGTTACCCACCAAACCATCTTGGGTTGGCGATGGTAAGGGAGGCCCGTTAGCGGTAGGTAAGGTGGTAGATGTTTTCACAGGTGTTGAGGCCTCTGACGTAGGGGTTGCAGTAATTGATTCCATCGGTGCTTCCACACAAACTGAGAGACCGATTTTGAGCCCACTGCAGTCTTTCTTCAAACCAGGATTCTAACCACATTCCATTAGACGCTTTTTCAGTAATTCCTTCGAAGTGATCAAAATATTGATTGACTTACCCAGGCCACAAAGACTTCATGTTTCAAATCCCATTGACTTTCGATATTTTCGCAAGTATAGCTATCATCAACGAGGTCAAGATACCAAGTACAGTTCGGGTTGGTACCAGCATACGTTGGACCGTTCGGCTTTTTGCCATTAATTCCAGCGGACACGACACCCAGGAAGGGGAAAATGATAAGGCTTGAAATCTTCATGATCACGCTGTGGTACCCGCTTGCTCAGTTTCAGACTGTCCAAGTTTCAACTCTTGAAAGTGTTTCCCAATAGCATTTTGTTTTCTCGTGAGCTTCTTTATAGTCCAACTATCAACTCAAACTTCTTATATATGAATGGCTTCTTTGACAGCAGTGGTGAATAAAGCCCGTTCTCAAATGGACTGGTTAATCGCGCGACTCCCCACTGCCCTCAGAATTCGGGCTTCGTCCAAAAGTCGGCCATATATTTTTGGTCATATAATTCTTGTATAATAATCTCTGCAAGAGATTTTCAATTTTTGGTATCAAACCAACAAGAGACATTCTTGTTTGCTTTACTGTAATAACCATGGCCGCAGCGTTGTATGTAGTTGACGGGATGCTGTAGATTGTTACATACCCTGTCATGTCTTTGCCGTCGGCGTGTGAGGGGCCAAAACTAGTGGGTATTCTTGGTTGTACATCATCCATGGTTCATCGATGAACGTTCGAGAAGCATTAACTAGTTCAGAGTGTCTTTGTGCCAGATTGATCCTTTATCATTCTGCTACTCTGTAAACATGCAAGGCAGTAGAATGTGTTGTAACAGCTGTGCCAACGTTGACCTTTTATATCGGGCGAGCCAAGACCTCAGCACGTGATTGTAAAGCTTCTGAGCTTAAAAAGTCTTGGCGCAGTTTCTATCAAGATGAAATGAAGTCGAAGTTGATAAACGCGAAGCCTTGAGGTATCTCTCTACCAGAGCACCTGGAGCTCTAACCAGCCGCCACATCCATCACAGTCTTGTCCCATTTCATGGCCAGTGGCACAATTTAAAGTGCCATCCCTCATTTGACTAGCGACTCTCTGCGACTTTCTGTCAACCCATTCCTCCCGGAACCTTGCGATCGCGTGCTAACACATCATGGATGACCTTTATGACGAGTAAGTTTTCTAGAGATGGATTGGATATGGATATAACGGCAATTCCTCTAGCTGCGCAAATAGAAAGCAAGCTAATTGTATCCCAGGTTCGGCAATTATATTGGAGGTGAAGAGTCCGAGGAAGAATCGCAACATGGCGGCGTTGAGGCACAGCAATTTGATTATGACCTTGAATCGGAAGTGGAAGCCCCGGCTGCTCATGGCCAGGAGCTCATGGAGATAGATGGTAGGAGATTTAGCGGGTTCACCTTTATTGTCTATGGCTAACTGCTCCCATCTCTTATTAGACCAAGGTCCATCGAATGCAGTGATTCTTCACGAAGACAAGCAATATTACCCAACCGCACAACAAGTTTACGGCGCAGATGTCGAGACGAAAGTACAAGAAGAAGATACACAACCACTGTCACAACCAATTATCGCGCCAGTTCAGCAGAAGAAGTTTGCTGTCCAGGAAGCAGATCTACCACCGGTCTTTTACTCTAGAGAGTTCATGACAGATCTATTAAACTACCCTAGCCAAACTCGAAATATAGCATTGGCCGGTCATTTGCATCATGGAAAGACAGCCTTTATGGATACATTGGTTATGGAGACGCACGATCTGTCGGAAAAACTTGATAAACGAACTGGTAAATCTAAGGATGAACAGCTGAGATACACAGATGTGCACTTTCTAGAGAGAGAGCGTGGACTGTCGATAAAATCAGCACCGATGAGCCTTGTTTTACAAGGTACGAAAGGGAAATCTCATCTCTTCAACATAGTAGATACCCCCGGGCATGTCAATTTCGTGGATGAAGTCGCCGCGTCATTGCGACTGGTAGACGGAGTAGTGCTTGTTGTGGATGTGGTTGAAGGTGTCCAGATCAACACAGAGCAAATCATCAAGCACGCGGTATTAGAAGACTTACCACTCACTCTAATTGTTAACAAGCTCGACCGACTTATACTGGAGTTAAAACTACCGCCAACAGATGCCTACTTCAAGCTGAAACATGTGGTTGAGGAGGTAAACACTGTCATCGAGAGAACAATACCTGGGCAAGGGGAAAAGAGACGGCTAAGCCCCGAGAAGGGCAACGTTGCATTTGCATGTGCCTCGATGAACTGGTGTTTTACCCTCCAGTCATTCGCAAAAATGTACGCGGACACATATGCGAAAGTTGATCTCTCCGAGTTTGCTATAAGACTATGGGGTGATATATTATTCAATCCTCGCAGCCGCAAGTTTACGCGCAAGGGTATGGAAGAACAATCGAAGCGATCCTTTGTCC